CTTGGTGGGGATGAGGAGGTTGCCCTTTGGGTGTCCTGCTGCTATGCACAGGCTTCTTTCACTTGAACTGAGTATTTGTGATCTCCAAGGTTGTTAGGCTCGCAGCTCTTGTCATGAACTAGCCATAGGGGAGGGATTCTGCCTAGGTTAGGACTGCATTAGTGTCGCACTGGCTTTTCTCTTTCTAGCTCAGTAAACTCAATGGTGGTTTTCTAGAGTCTCAGGAAAGCTGATTAATTCAGGAGCACTGTCAGAACAATTTCTTATGCTCATATATTATTCATGTATATTAGCAATTTTCATTTAACTATTCCAGCTTTCTCATTTCCAGAAGGGCTGAGGCTGAGGTTCCATGTGGCTTTTTTTAGCTCTTCTCTGCACAGAAGGAGACGCTATAGTTTTTGCTACCCTGCCTCTTATGTGTCAGTGTGGACAGAATCTAACCTGTATCCTGACAAGTGTTGTTAAAGAATACATGAGAACAGAAAGTTGCTAAGCTAATGACCTTTGACTATCTGAAATCATTACTTCTTGGAGCTGGGGCAGCAGCTCTGACACTGCCCAAATACAGATAAGCCACCAGGTTATAGACACATAGAATGGTTTGGGGTTAGAAGGGAGCTTAAAGCTCATCCAGTTCTAGACCCCTGCTATGGGAAGGGACACCGTCCACTAGACCAGGTTGCTCCAAGCCCCATCCAACCTGGTCTTGAACAGTGCCAGGGATGGGGCAGCCACAGCTTCTCTGGGCACCCTGTGCCTCAGCACCCTCACAGGGAAGAATTTCTTCTTTATGTCTCATTTCAGTCTCCCCTCTGTCAGTTTAAAGCCATTCCCCCTTGTCCTGTCCCTACAGGCCCTTTTAACAAGTCCATCTACAGATTCCTTGTAGACCCCCTTTAGGTTATGGTGTTAAAGGTAGCATTTCTAAAGAAGTTTTAAAAGCACAAGCAGCAGGAGGCGATTTTAAGTTTGGAGGTGGAGGAGGAAAGGCTTCCCCCAGCTGTGGTTGATTACTGCACTGCAGCTTGTGTGAAGTTATTTTTATCACAGCATTTCAACTGAAATAACTCTTTACAGAATGGGAGTTGTAAAAATTGAAGGAGCTAAACACATTACTGATTTGTACCTCTGGAATGTGTGAGGAGATGATTCTGGTCTGGGGAAATGCTGAATTACTACTGAAATCCTCTAGTCTGCTGGGTATGGTGCACTGAGATAAATACTGTTCAGCACCAGCAGCTGGGTTTAAGGAAGCTTCCTTCCAGTGTCTCCGGTGTCAAATGTTTTGTTGCAGGGGTTTTGTGTTGTGGTTTGGTGGATTGGGTTTTGGGGGGGTTGGTTGGTGTTTTTTTGTTGTTGTGTTTTGTTTTGTTTTGAAGTCCTCCCTCTGAAATCCTGGAATTCAGAGGAATTCAGGCATCTAGTTTGGGCTTACGCTTAATGTAAAAACATAACCTCTCTGAGCTCTTCCACAGCAAGCACTGTTTGTTACCCTGTGTGCTGCCCCAGCACAGCACCCTGGTGTGCAAAATTGGTCTGTAAATATTGACACTCATCAGATCTTGCCAATCCCCCTTTAAACCCTTCCGCACCAGCCTTCGCCTTGTAAGAAGAAAATCCAAGTTACTTTAAGCCTCTTACTCGTTTTTATTTAAACTTGTTTTTTAAAAATGTAGTTGATTGAGACTGTGTCAGCTTTTCAAAGCAATTTGCTTTTAAGACTTAATCTTTTTCATTGGCAGTATTTTACATCCTGGTCTCATGTGTCTTCCTCACTCTACAGTGGAAAAGCAGGAAGCAGTATCATCTACAAGACGCAAAGCACGACTGGGGAAAATCTTACGCTACCACCCCCACACTCTGGAAATGGCTTATTCCCACGTGGATGTTAACCTGTTTCCTGTAGATTTAGGTAGGTTTCTGATTCTGTAAGCTGGTGAAGGTGAACTAGGTTGGGGTGCCTGCTTCTCCATCGTGTGCCTGGAAATGACGCAACACAAGAAGTTTGGGTGGCTCTGCTTCCTTGAGGAGTGGTGGCAGGCGAGGGGTAGAGGACACCTCTGCTATGAGGAAAGGCTGAGAGTGTTGGGGTGCTTTTATGATGCAAGAGATCTGAAATGGGCTATGAAGGATTTGACTTTTCTGCCTGCTCCTGTTACTGAGCCTGACTTCTGGGTGACAAGACCCTTAGCATAGGAATAGCATAAAACAGCTTTCCACAGCAGCAAAGACAGCACCGTTTGTCCCAAAGTTAAACCACATTACAGGAAAATGTCCAAATTGTCCGCATCTGGCTTCTTTTAGTAATAAGCTTCATTATAGGAGAGTCTGTCTCATGTACAGCAGTTTATGCAACATTGTTTATAAAGGAAGGGCCTGTGCACTTCAGGGATACTATGAAGAAAATACTAATATATGGTCATTGAGTATTTTGTATTGAATAGTGTATTTGTATTGTAAACAAGTGTAGTGAACCACAAGGCATGAAGACAAATAAAATGACTGTAGCTGGCTTTCTCTGTGTGGTGACTGGAGTGATGTCAGTGGAAGGGCTCTGGGCATCAGTTTATTACTGGATGAAGTTACGCAAGTATTAAGGTACGTGGGCACACAGAGGAGCAGGCAGGGTGTTAAAGCATGGCAGCCACTCCTCAGGCTTCATTGCGCTGTGTCAGCACAAAAGAAGGTGTGGGTCCTTCTAGTGCAAACCACCAAGGCTGGCTTTTACCTACAAGAAAGGAGCTGGTATAAAAAGAGAACCAAGTGTATACAGTTGAAGAGAAATGTGGGTGTTTTTGTTCCTGAAAGTGTGTATCTTAAGATAGCATTTGTCTTTTGAGTCTGGACATGGAATTTGAGCAGGTCTGGGTAGAAGCTGCATTTTACTATAGTGGACTGCCACTGCTGAGTCCTATGAGAAACATTGAAAGAGGTGGCTCAAGCCCTGCAGTGCTCACTTTTTAACCCTCCGCTGTACCACTCCTCTGCCCGAGATAGGTGGTTTCTCAAGAAATGGTCTTTGAAATTAGGACTGACTTATCTATAAACCTTCTTCTTCACTTTCTTATCCACATGCTAATTCTCCTGCAGGACAGAGCTGTGGTTTAATTAAATGGACTTCTTTTCCTGAGCAGGTATCCAGCAGGCTCCCTCCATTACCCACACTCTGTTTCCTCCTTAACTGAAAAGGGAGATCCCCTGTGCCACACTGGTTTGGAGCTGGCAGTCTTTACTCCAATTTCCATATTTTCTAGAGGTGTCTGGCTGCAGCAAGGCAGGAAAAAGGATGGAGGTGAGTGCTCAGCCATGTGGCTTTCTTGGACACAAGTTTCAGTTTCCACCTAGTGTTTGACAAGGCTTCTGCAAACCAAGCTCTGAAAGCGGGGATGTAAATGCTGGCCTTGCCACCTCTGCAGGTAACTCCACTAACGTAGCAGAGAAATTAGGTTATGTTTTGCAAATCCGCAGTGCCAGTTTTGCATCCTTGTGCCTCAGATCTTGCTGGACAGCAAGACTTTTAAAGCACAGGCTCCCTGCCCAGAGAATCATTAACTGTATCTGTAAAACAGTCACTGAATGCAGCTCAACTGAACTCATTAGATACGAATTCCCCATTCTGGGACACCTCAAGGAAGTTCTCCTCCTGCCACCCTGATGACCTTTCTGGCCAGTGCCCAACAACTTGAAAGACTTCACTGCTAGGATCACTGAAAAAGTGCATTTTCTAAGGAGACTCCTTGGAATGGTTGTTGATGAAGCAGGTAATATTTTAGTTACATGGTTTATAGGGACTTTGAGAATCATTTGCCTTTTCTAACCAGTCTGGGGCTGTGACTGTGTAGACCTGAGCAGAGCACCTGATTTCAAACTTCACCAACAGTTATTTTCAGAATCTTTCTTTATGACCTGCAATGTCCTCCTGGCAGCTGGAGAAAAGGATTATGGCTCCTTAGATTTAGGGAAGCACAAACCCCTTCACATCACCAACTTGAAGACAGCCATCAGTAATCCTTTCTGGAATGGAGGTAGTGATTTATTTCTGTTTCAGGCCACATGAATTTACAGTGCTGCTTGCTTCCTTACAGAGGATTTTTAGTGCTACCAAACCAGCTCCATGCTGATCATGGTCCTTACTTGCTCCCTCTATGCTACATTGCTCTAGCTGTTCTTCAGTCAGCTTTCAGGAGAAGCATGTGGGTAGCAGGTGCTGAAACTGAAGGGAAAAGCATGCTACACTAATGATCAGATGGTATCCATGCCATCTTCTCTGTCAGGATTCAATCTCCTGCAGTCTTTGCTAGACCAAGCCACTGATGCTGTGTTTGACAAGTGGCAGCCTCCACCAGCAAGCTGGGAGATAGACGAAACACTTCTGGGTTATATTCTACAGCCCCTGTTCCATGCTGTGTCCTGGTACCATAACTTGTACCTAAGACCAGATGTGAGAGTATGTACGTTCTGCAGTGACCTAAGAAAAAGTCTTTTTGCCACACTACTTAACCAGGGTTTCATTTTACTGAGACCAGCAAGAAACAGGCATTGGACAACATAAAGTTCAGCACATCACTGAATATCTGCATCTTCAAATATAAAGCATTGATTTTTTTTCATTTAAAAATGTACAGCTTTTATATTCAATTAAAAATTCCCATAAGTTAGAATACAATATGCACTATTTTAAATACAGGTCAGGAAAAATAGCTACAGCAGTTACTTAAAAGAAGTTGGTAGCAGCAGAATTCTGTCTAAAAATAGGATATTATGATGTAATTTAAAGTGTCACTTCTTCCTGACTCACCCTAACTATTCTATGATTCTTCAAGTAGGTAAGAGCAAGCAGATCACTTAAGAACAACGTGACTGTTCTGAAACACAAAACCATCCTGCTAAGGTAACATTTACATATGCTGAGCAATTAAAATACATGGTATGTTTAAAATATGGACAAAACATCTGTTTTAAAAGGCTGATATGCAAATAATTCACATCGAGGCATGTTATAACACACTAAAACCATCCTTAATTTATCGTGAGCATCTACAGTAAATTTCTACTGCAAACTATTCCAAAAGAAACGTATCACAAATAAATCAAATCATGTTACTAGCTTGCTTGAAGACCCTGCATATAATCCATACCTCTGGCAGGAACTACCATGCTGTATTTATACAGACTTCGTATTTATGATGAGGCTATTAAGTAATGTGAAGTACAGGTTTATCTGCGTTTAAAACCTGATACTTGCAGCTTGCAGCACACGAAAGGGAAAATACTTCAAAATTGAGGGAAAGCTCTCCAGGAGAGTGCAAAGTGCATTATTTTAAAGAGTGCTTCTTATACATTGCTCCTTCTACAAATGCATACAGCAGAAAGTGCTTTTTACCATACAGCCTGACATGCAGCGTATTTGTGCTTTTTAAAGCCATTTTGTTTTACTGCTGTTGTTCACAAAGGTAACCACAAATCAGCCCTTTTGTGTTCTGGAGGTGAGAATAAGAGGGGGGAAAAAGAGGAGGGATCTCAATGGGAAAATGTAAAAATACTTCACAACTGCTTGAAAAAGGGGTCCATCTTTTTTGCTTTCTTATTGCTAGCAACTGGTCCTGGAACTGATGAAGTCGCTAGTACCCAAACTAATGGGACTCATTCACCACCTCCTCTGTGAGAAGCATTATCAGTTCATAACCAGGCAGAGGAACATCACTTAAATACTGCTTGAACCAGTAAATGATTCATGAAAGCAACGTTAGAGAATGCTGAACGTACTGGAACATTGCTCAAACAATACAGCATCTCACACCCAAGACACTTTTGCAATACCCTTCCCAAGCAAAGGCTGTTTCAGTAAGAGAAACACAATAGTGGTTTTACTTCTTAATGTGATTTTTTAAAATCTCTCTATATTTTTATATATCTATAAAAATATATTCTATATACATATATATGTTAATATATATGTAAAATGCAAATTCAGATTTAATAATTTAAAAATAAGTTTGCATTCTAGGTGGGGTTCTTGTGTGCTTTAAAATACGTATTTCCTATTGTATGAGCACATTTTGGCTCAGCAGATATCATCTACAAGTTTTGCCCCATTAATCCCACGATAGGTGACTCTGCTTGGTCGAACCAAAACCCCGTGGTTCAGCTTACAGGTGAAGTAGCGCTTCTCCCCCACAGAGCCATCATTTTTTCCCTTGGCGCTTCTGAGTTCCAGTCCAAGCCATATCCCAGGTGCAAAGTCTGCAGGACCGATGTACCTGATAGTCCCCATTTCGTTGGAGCTGGTCAGAAGGACCTGGGAGCCTTCATGGAGCTTCACCGGTCCCTCAGTGTTAGCTGGAGTGGTGCTGCTCCAGCTGCGCCGTAACACGGAGCTCTTGGATCTAGATAGGAAAAGAAAACAAAAGTCCTCTATGAAACATCCAGGGCAAGGCTGTAATTCAGTGAAGTGATAGGGGGAAGGAGAAATCAACTCCCTTTTTTAAAACAACAGGGTTTGGTCTCATGTCTCAAATAAAACATGTAACAACATTACCAGGCGTGTACACATGGCACTCTGAAATACCTGGAAAATCCAAGTTCCTTTCACCTGATGCTAACCATAGGTGATAGGAGTGGTAAGTCAAGAAGCACAAAACATTTTATTTGGGGCTTGAAATTCCTTAGCTAAAACAACTTTTAACATGCAAGGAGATGACCAGGACAAAGCGAAGTCCTTTCACAGACCCTCTGAACTTCACCCAGCTGTGTGAAAATGCAGAGAGCTGGAAAATACACAGTGATGAATGATTGGAAAACAATTCTAATGCCAACCTGAATTCAAGGACTGTACTCCAGGATACCCTCAGAAAAACAGTCTACTACTGCTTCATTACATAGAGACCACCTAGACATTACACACTATAAAGATTTTCTTTTGAAGAAGAAACAATAAAGCTAACAGGCAGCTCACCAAAACATTTTGAACTCAGAACACTCACCTAACAAAGGAGTTTCTTCTGTTTATCTCCTTCTGTGAAGATGCAGAAGTGGTGCTCAGGCTGCGCCTAAAGCCTAAGTGGAAAGGTTTAATAAGCTGCGTAGAACTTCAGAATAAAAAACCAACCCAACAACCAAAACCAGCCCTTTCTGAACTCCTATTCTTTATGTTTTCTTTTACACTGCTTCCTTTGCTTCACATTCTCCCTTCCCACTTGAAAATAGTGATGAAATGTCTCATGAAGCTAAGAGTCCATAACATGTTCAAACATGTTCAGACTTTCAAAGACAGAAATAAAACGAACCCAACAAAGGGTAACGCGAAGCAGCCTTTTACAAAGAGCTTAGGTAAGGAAAAACAACTACTCACAAATGTCCCAGTAATTTCATACAGCTCCCTCCTACACCAATCTGTTCAGTAATCTCAATTTAGATTAAGGAGCAGGTTCAGTTTACGGTTAACACTGATCAGAACACAATACAGCAATAAGGAAAGACTATCTTAATCTTAACTCTGACACCATTATTTCTGCCAGTATATGGTTAGTAACAACCAGTAACAGTTCCTTCTGCAGGCTATGTATTTAACGGGGGACAGGGTAAACTGGCACTTGAAAAGTCTGTGTGAGAAGGTGGCTTTGTGCAGTAGGTGAACAGTAGCCTGCAGTAGGCTACCTAAGCCAAATCACAGTGTCTTACACTCCTACCTGGAAAAGTGCGATTTAGTTTATTCAACGAAGTCTCTGAGAGAGAATCCAGAGAACCTGTCAGTCTGAAAAGCAATAGCACAACAATAAAGTCATTTCAACTCAAATCTGAACAAAGCTACTGCTGGCATTCTTGTCAAATGTGAGTTAAATTCTGATTCTTTCCCTTCTCCATCTTCTCCCAAGAAGCCACAGACATTTCAACTGTAATCAGGCCAGTATGTAACAGTGTCCAGAGCAAACTAGTTTGAGTCATTTGCCTTTTACTCCACAAGAGAGCATATGTAATTCTGAAGCGAGTTCTTCAACAGTTTGCCTGAGCAGGGTGTTCAGGGAAAAAAAGCAAGAAAACATCTAGCAGATGGCAGATCAACTAGATAGATGCAAATACCAAACACAAAGAGCACAATACTCCTCAGGTGATCTTCCTGACAGTTAACGAAGATTTGATCCTGAATTTAAGTGTCAATGAACACATACTGTATCAGAAATGGAGGCCCTGGCATGAAAATACTTGAAGTGGCTGCAAGCGACACAGGGGAAGCTGCATTTCAAATTCAGGCTCTTGCTTCTAAAGAGCTGATCTAAAACCCATCAGGTTTTTAATGGAGGTTATGAAGTTCCATTAGCAGAAGAAAATATTTCTGTCATATCTGGGGTAAAACTTTGTTTCCTGCCAGAAATGCATTAAGAACGCATTTGGCAGCAAACACTGAACCAGCTTCAGTGCTTACCTCTGAACACGAGATGGTGGTGCAAATATACCGTGTCTGGGAAGGCAACTGAAGTACTGGATGCCTCCCACGGAACCATCATTCTTCCCATGAGGCTTGTCCAATTCAATTCCACACCAGAATCCTGCATTTCAAAACAGTAAAATCATGGTATTTCAAACAAAACACCACAGGCTTTACTTCATACAGACAGCTGCTACAGTTGGGATTTGGCCATATCAAGGAAAACAGTTTCTAGTTAGAAACTCTCTAAAACATAATACTAAATATATATATTATAAAGTAACTATGCAAAACTAAGTTACTAAAGTAACTATACAAAAACATATAGCAGAATAAATCTAAAGATTATTGTCCTAACATTTCTATATGCTTTCATGGAAGTTATTGATATTCTAATTAATACAGAAAAGGTAAACCTGTTTATATATGTACACTGAAACCAAACAGAATGTTACTGTGGTTGTGTGACAAAGAGGAGTCAGGAATGAAGAGCAATGGTGGTTCAGGTTTCTCTCTTCAGCCTTATGACCACATGGTTTATGCCTCATCTGAGATCATCAACAGTAAAATTAAAGTTTTGATATTAATTCATTACTCCATCTAGCAAGCTATAATTAATACAAATTGCAAGGCTGGCTGTGTGATACTGAGAGAAGGGTGTAAGAATCGGGAGTGGCCAGCAATTCATCTCTTACCCGACACTGAACAGGCATCAAGATGTTAATAGGCTCGATCATTCATAACCTGTGATAAATGGGAGCTAATTACGTAAGGGTGCTAAATTTCATATTCCATTAGTCGTCCTTATGCTATCCAGCCCCAAAAGATTCAAAATTGAATTCAAGTCACTTGGTGCTAAGGCACTGGATAAAATGGTAATTCCAATTATCAGCTCAAGAAACTGGGGAATGATGGTTTATGAATGAGAAGGGCTCGGTACGTCAGGAGTTCTCCCCCCTCCTGTTTTCAGGATTAAAGAAAGATCTGCACTGCAGCAAATGAAATAAGAGTCTGGGTAACTTCCAGAGCTTTGATACATCATATTAAAATAGAAATACCTAAAAATGCACCTGTTACCTTTTCTATAAATGAGTTTGCAAATGGTGAGGATTTGGCACTTTTCCACCCTCGCTCCTTACAATACCATGTTTTCTCAAAAAATAAAGAACTGTTCCCCCGTTTGCAGCAGAGCAAGCAGGAGCAGGCTGCTGAGCAGCTTTCTGATTTTACACTTGTTTACACTTGCAGTGTATTTGGACAACCAGTCCTCACTGTTTACTTTGTAAGCAGCAATGCGAAGGTTGGAGCCCTCACACCAAAGAGCAGGATCAGTTAATCACAGTATCTTAAGTCAGGACTGCCTACAGCAAAACTGGGGGAAAGGGGCGAGAAGGAACAAAGCATGTACAGAGCTTGTGCCCCAGTCCCCCATTCTACAGTTCTATTTTTTTGTGAAGTATTGATGCCACCAAGTGTCGCGATGGAGTATTGCTGCTCACGTACCAGTCAAATGGACCTCATTTAAACTAGGTACAAGCACCAGTACTGACCAACTGGTTTTGCAGTGTCCTTGCAGTTAAGATGGTTATAGGTAATGCCATAAACATTACAGAGTACAGTTACAAGAAACAGAATTCAGACAATAGTTTCTAGAATTTAGAACAATTCTCTTTGCATCTGAAAACACCTGGCTTCATTTGCAGAGTGGTTTATAGCAAGGGGAAGGGTGGGAGGAGCAGAAAATGATGGTAGTCGAGATGCTTGAACTTGTCACCTGTCCTGTGACCTAAAGGTTTGTTAGAAGACTTAAATGTTCACGATTCCCTTCTTAAAGATGCAAAGAAGGTCAGAACAACACACATGTATGACACGGTAAGAGTACCAGCATTGCAAGAGATGAGCTGTGTCAAAAGGCGCACTACCAGAAGTAAGGAAGGAGTAAAGGCATGTGATCTCAATAAACTGTACCACTCTGGAGACTAAACAGAGGCTTTTCAGAAAGCTCTATAACAATGCCTACTATTTCAACATCAGAGTACTGTTCCTAACTAAGCTGGTTTAGAGACAAGTGAAAGTCACCCTTTAAACCAGTATTTTTTCCTGGCAGTTGCATTAAAGTAAAAAATATTCAGTGAAATGTAGGAGAGGAAGAACATTGAAACAAAATCAGTAAATTTGGATATTTTTTTTTTTTGGAGGGAGGGAAAAGGTGGAGTTCTCTCAATGTTCACGTTTAAGCTATCCCATACTGATTCTACAACATACACAAAGAGCTTTGCAAATACCTGGTGCAAATTTTGTCGTCCCACAAAATCTAACGGTGCCTGTTCTCTGTCCTACCACCAGGACTCTGTCTCCAATCTGAATTTCTCCTTCACCAAAAGCATTTTTCCTTGTAGCTGGAGAACTATAGAACCCTGGTCAACAGAAGAACAAGATAAGCAAATTAGTGACACAGTACCTTTAATATTTAAGAAAGTCTTCAACAGTGAGCCAACAGGGAAACAGAGTACCCATCATCTTTACACAGTGTACTTTTAACCCATGGCAATACACCACAGGTTTTGCTTAGACAAAAGAACTGCTTTGCTTCTGTGTGACAGCTGTAGGCTGCAGCCTTTTCTCTGCAGCTGAAAGGTTCAGTGACCAACTATGAGAACACTTTTTTCCCCTTGAAGATGTGCTTTAAAATGTTTTAAAAAGGTAAGTTTATGGTTAAACTGCTTCCCAGGTGTCTGTCTTGAACCATCTCAGTGTCTGAACCAGCACAGGTAGTTGTACGCAAGCACTCTGTACAGCAGTAAACCCCCACCTGTGAAAACACACCTCAGTATCTACAGACCATACCTGCACTGATTTTAGATGAGGCAGAAGACACTCGGGTCACTGCCTTCTTGCTGCTGCCAGTCAAGTTCCTCTTCTTGGAGTAATTCCGTTTGCCTTCCAAGGAGGTAGTTGAAGAGGAAGAGCTGGTGTACCCAGGAAAACCTAAATGACATAAATGGAAATAGTCTACTAGAGGCCAGAGTCAGAAAAGGACACATAAAACAGAAGGGAAAGCTCCTGTGAGAAGGGAGTTAACTGTTCTCCACAATGGGCAGAATACAAACAGCCAAAATTAGAAGTTGTTAAGCAGCACTTCCACAAACTCCTGTCAGGAATGGCATAGGTGTGTCTGCTCCTGCCTTGGGACTAAGGTGATGGGCAAGTGTTAGAAGAGGTCTCCAAAAGCCCCTTCAGTTCTTCTAAACAACCCCAAGTATATTTTAATTAAATTATGGGAGCCTTACTTAGTAGCGACATCATTCCACCACACTTCCAGCATCCAGCCTATGCAAGATTTGATGAGAAGTGGGAGAAAGGTGATACTACATGAGTGAATTATTGCCTCTATTAAAGCCTACTAGATTCCATTACACACTGTATTAATATTAAAATCTGCAGTATAAAGTAAGAATGGGAGATAAACCACTTTTATCTGCATTCACAAACCCTGATGTCTCAACTGTCCGGTAAGACTTATGATTAGCTTTCCCAGATCTTCCCTTTCCTACCCCTTCTGCCCAAAACAAGGCAGAGTACAGCAAGACATGTCTGCTTCTCAGTGTGAACAATTAAGATAATATTATTAATTGAACTTTCCAGAATTCCAGGAGGCTTAATTCATTAGTCTTTGCCAGGCATCTTGATCTCAGCACAGGGTTATTAGCATGTTCAATATAAGTCTCCTAAGTCATGCCTTATACCTCCCAGTTTTTGTGGTGCCACTAAGTGCCCTCCATGACCATACAAGTGCTGGAAACCTCTGTCTACACAAACACTAGCTTGCCTCTGAAGAAGTATCATACAGGACAGCACGTAAGTACCTTACACTAGCCTCCTTCACAAATCCCCTCCTTGCAACTGTACACTGACAGAGGATATAAAAAAAATGCTTTTCTTCAAAGAAGATATACTCAAATTCACACTTCAAATTATTTCAAAGAAATACTGCTTTTACCAACACAATAAATAACCTCAAAGGAGACCCCATTTTTACAGTTTGTTAAAGAAAAAAGTGAGGTCCCTTTATGTTTAAAGTTCAGCAAACAAAACACTGACGCAGTAGAAGTCACTATCCAGTGCTGGAACTAGGTAATTGCATGGCATGATTCATACGTAAAAGGAACTTTTTAAAGAGCTAGTTTCAAGTCTCGTATTTGAAGCCTGTTATTAGGAGTCTTCTGTGACACGATGCCAAGACTCAAGTGCTGTTAAATGGCAACACTTGATTACACAAGCTGAACGTACAATACAGGAGAGAATAAAAATCGCAACAGAACACATGCAAAGTTCTTTATTAAAATCTAAGCAGTGACAATACAGGGCAACAGGTCTCCCTCAAATCTAGGAGAGTAACTCTGGAGCTCCTCTCTAAGATCACTTACCAACAGACAGCTTCCAGCTTTAATTGTCTATATTCTTGCCCGTGTATTTGGATAGAAGCTGTTCCCAAACCAACACAGAATGCCAGCGAACAGCCACACAAATTTCACTTGCTCCAACTGAACTGTGTACAGCCTGCTTGGGACTTTAATACAGACAGGCAAGGCACTTTCCATACTGTCAATACAGGACTTCTACAGAGGTAAGGCAGCAGTAATACCTCTTCTGCCCTAAAACAAACGTTTTCCTCAAGATGTTAAAAGATAAAAGAATATTTAGTTACCATCTTTTGCAGGTACAGGTTTTCCCCTGTGAGGAGTCATGAAGTTGGTTTCCAAAGCACCCTCTTTTTTCACCGTGTTTAGGCCTATAGAAAGAACATGTACAATTAAATATATACATCCAACAAAGAACAACACTCTTCAGGAAAGTCACGTTTAAAACCAATTTGGCACATTTGCAGATTAAATGCAGGGATAAAATGGATACAACTGTACAGTTCCTTAGACTCTTGATAAATGGGTTAACAAGGCTGCAGAACTGTTTTGATGGATAAGCACGGATGTTAAACCCCTCAACCCATTAAAACAGTCCAAACTATCTTGCCAAACAATAACCAAATTGTCTGAAAAATATTAATGTTTCTATTGAAGGAGTTTTATTTAAATCTTTCAAACACATTATTACATACACAACATTCACTTTTATGATACCTAACACCTACTATTCACTGGGATTAATTTCACCATTTCTGCGTTAAAGATTACCCATAAAGCTTTTGAGAGGGTGATCTGAGACCACATCTTTCTTTAGTCTACAAGTAATGAAGTAAGCACGGCAGTAAGATTTTTTAAAAGCCTAAGGAGCAACAGTGTTGTGATATGAACTAGAACAGCCATAGAAGTTATGCCAGCGAACAGCATTCTGCATTCCTGACAGTTTCCTACCCTCATTCAATGAAGAATGAGTTATCTATGATTTACTCCTTCCCTGTCATGAAAGGAATAAAAGAAATAAATCATGTCATCTTTCTTTAACTACATCTCTCAGCTTAATGCAGCTGCAGGGACTGAAGCAGCTTGCAGATGTACTGTATTTTCTTAAATGTTATGGTTTAGCCACTAAGGCATCAGTTCAAAACCCTACTGGTTGGGACTGAGAACACACGTCTCAATTTGATCACAGTAATCCTTTTCCTAGAACCTTGAAAAAGACCTGTTGTCATCAATCCAATGGGTTATTCAAACCCAGTGGAAACCAACCAAATTTGAGAAACTCTATGCTGTATTTTATTTACACTTTGCAGCTAGTACCCACAACTACACAAAGCATGCTCATTTTTCTTGGATCCTTACACACCAGGGTATTGCAGAGATGAAGTTTAAAAGAAAGAAATGTAATCTGCCACATAAACACTGCAAAACACAGTTCTGCCTCTGCAGCTCTATCCTCCCACTCCAGCCCATGAATTAGCCAAGCACATTAATTCTAATGGACCTTTCAATTCAAGAACACCAGCCTCCAGATTACAGTTAGTGGATGTAAACTCTGCTGGGCAGATGATACATACCTCACCCTGATTCTTACCTGAAGCAAAATATCAAATGTTTAAAATTTACAAAGGCACAAATGCACTTTTATGGTGCAGAAAAAGGTGGTTTATGACTAAAGTGGAAACACAGTCTGTGACAAAGGAAACAGTACTTTTATTACAGCGTCATGGATTACAAACAGTTCACAACAAACTGAATCAAACACTGAAGAATTTAACAGAAAAAGTCAGCTTAGATCTGCTCTGAGCAAGACTCCTAACAAACAGATTATTGCCAGGAGCGTTTTATGCAAGATGTCCATTTATAAATAGCTTGGATCTTGTGCTTGTTGTAAACACACAGAACTAAAGCTTACTTCCCCCTCAACCTGTGTAGAGCAGTGTTACGTAAGTCATACAAAATGCTGCCAAAATGCCTCTCTTCCACCAGCCCTGCACGCTGTTTCAGTCCCCTGTGTATTACTGGTATGTGGTGTTTTAGGGGCCTTGAGTAAATTCAGTGAGAACGTATGCACACCTTCTACCCCTCAAGCTGTGCTGCCTCAGTATGAGTCACCTACAGAGGGTCCAAAAGGCAAAAGAAATGCTAATGTAATCTATTTAATGACATCATTATGTAGCCAGGCAGACATGGGGCCAGATTATGCACGGTGGGCACTGTACGCAGCGAGGAAGTCTGTACTCCAAACAGGCAGAAAAGATGCCTCATTCTTATTTCACAGGGACAGAAGTTACACAGATAATCAAGTAATTTGAGTAAATTACTAAACAACTGAAGCAGAGCCAAGGACTGAGCTTTTAACTCCAATCAGAAGACTGAGGCCTTATTACAAGGGCATCCTTTTTCTAATTTGCCTCTGGTTTCCTCAGATAATTCAATTAGCAGATAGAACACAGTCAGATAAGTAGTTCCCTGATCATTTTGCCAGAAAAATTAAATTTCTTCCATTTCTCTTCCTAAAGGTGTATATAGATCAGTTTCTAGATTTTCACTGATTTCAGTGAGATGTTTCAAGTTACCCAGGGAAGAAGATCTTAGTTAATGGAATCGCATAAAGTACAGACATGTAACTGATCCCGCAGGCAATCAGAAATCACTTTAATGGCTTGAGAACAAATGTGAACTATTTTAAATAGAGTATGTAAAGACTACAACCTGTCATAGTACATCAGATCACTACAATCACTAAACAGCTACACACAGCATCCTTCCAGTACCAGTTTACAGGCTAGTGAACTTCTGATAATGAGAACACGTAGTTAATAAACATCTCCTTTTCATCCCAAGTGATGAACTAAATCCAAACAAGTACTTTAATACCAAGACTTACAGGATTAGTGCTGATTCCTGAGGATTAGTATCCCTGTGTCCTGTCTCAACTTCGAAGAAAATACTCACCAGAATTCACTTTGGAAGTTATGTGCGTCACATCTATTTTCTTGGATTTGACCAAAGGTGAAGACCGCACGGAGGAACTTCTTAAAGAGCTTTTCCTGTGATCAGAAGCCTTGCTTATCTTAGAAAGAGGTGCAAAGATACCTGGAGAGAAAATTGTATGTGTCAAAACAAAACCAGGGATAAATGCTAGTAAAACTCTCTGGCTACTCACTCTTACATCAATTAATACAGGGGGTTTTATCAGCCACAGTCATGGCTTGCTATGCTGCCAAAGCACTTGTAGGGTAGGAAGGACCAGCTCAGATGGACAGCTGTCCTTGGTTCAGCAGTAGCAGTCATTTTTCTCCTTCTTGGTAGCTGGTTCTGTTCTGTGTTTTTGACTTTCAGCCTGGGAACAGTGCTGATAACACCTATGGTTTTAGTTGCTGCTCAGTAATGTTTAGTCTGACCAAGGACTTTCATGCTCTCATGCTCTGCCAGGGAGGAGGGGAAGCCAGGAGGAAGCAGACAGGACACCTGACCCAAACTGACCAAAGAGGTATTCCATACCACAGCACATCATGCCCGGGGAGGTAACTGGGAGTTACCTGGAAGGGCACTGGGGCTTCTGGGTCAGGCTCGTTTCAGTGGGTGGTATCGTATTCTCTCCCCTTGTTATTTTCTGTTACCATTATTACCATGGGTGGTAGCAGCAGTGGTTTGTGTTATACTTTAGTCACTGGACTGCTCTTATCCCAATCTGTGGGAGTTTCATTCTTTCGATTCTCTTCCCCATCCCTTCAGGAGCAGGGAAGGGGTGGAGGGGGGACGGAAAGAAAGAGGGAGGAAAGGGAGGGAGTGAGTGAACGAGCTGTCTGACTGGTTTTAAACCACGGCAACAGCGAAACCAAAAGGCTTAATGACAGAGTAATTCAGGAAGGCAGTAAAACCATCCATTAAAATAATCTTTTTGTCCTAACAGTAACATTCAGTCTCCGCTGTTACAAAACACAAGGCTTTGTATATCATGAGTGTCCATGAAACAGCAATTAAAATACCTCAAGCTGAATGCTAGAAAACAATTACAGGCATGTATCTCTTAAAAAGGAAGGCAAAGCAGGTAAAAACCATGGCCATTATTGCTGCAACACAAATACTTTCAATAAGATAGGTGGGAAACCAGGAAATATTTTGTCACTGTTTCAAGGAAATAACCAGAACTAACTAGAAATGTTGACTGCTTGACTGTTTCAGGGGTTTTGCAGATAGCTGCAGCCAACCACTAGGAACAGTTAAAGAATAAATCAAACAAAGAAAGTGCTATGAAGAAAAGCAACAGAATCTGTTAACATTTTATTCTACCAGAAAGTTCATCTCTTCCAAAACTGTTTTTAAACTTAAGGAAGAATTAAAGGCTGTACCATGTTTTGGTGCACACTTGAAGTACTGGACTTTTCCAACACTGCCGTTGTTCTTTCCTTCTGGTTCATCCAGTTCTATGCCAGCCCACTGGCCACTGGCAAATTCCGTCGTGCCACAAAATCTTAATGTACCAACCTAATGCAAAAAGCACCAACACAGAATGACTTTGTTACACAAGTATTCATGAGAATATAGTACAGATTATGAAGGAGAAAGCAAGTCATCTCCAAGCTTTTGATCAGAACAATGAAATACAAACGTCATGATCTGCCTTGATTACTGCCATGCCTATCTTTCCATGCCAGCCAGTGCATCCTCCAAAACTTCTTAATCCTCCTGGGTATATTTTGCATTCAAGAAAAGCAGTGCTTGTTGACAGATCTCACAACAAACAAGCACGAGACAGGAAGAACCACAACTCCAATTCAGCAACGTACAGGAGTATATGCCTAATGAGGAGTTTTCCACAACAGTAATTCCAGAATCATGGCTAGATACTTTGCTGAACTGGAGGTTCCATGGCAATGCTAAATTAAAGATCTACAAATGGATGTGTGTGTCTACAAATAAACACATGTAAGTATATATATATTTTTATATATGTTGCAAAGGTTCAAGGGTAAACTTCAGAGCAAATTTTTTCCTTGGAAAAGATTCCAATGTCTTTTATTCCCTCCTTATGATTAAACAATATTCAAAAGGCAACAAATGTTTTGAACACATTGTTATTTCAGTATATACTGTAGTGCATGCTCTGAACAGGTAAGTATACCAAGAATATCAAGACAGACCAGTCTTGGTGGTGGACCTCAGCCTCCACAAATATACATTATAAGCTCACACACTTCAACCAATCAGGGGAGGAATAACTAACAGAGATGCTGATTTAAATTCATTTTTATGCTTGATTTTTAAATTAGCTTTAGTACTAAAAACCTTTGATCTTTCAGTTGCTCAGTTTTCATTATCACATGTCATCTTAATACCATTATTTTCTACTTCACTCTTGTACCAGACTTCACAGTCTAAACCAGCACTCAGAGGGTAAACAGGCAAACTTTTTCTTTACTGTAAAACCTTCCAGCTACTCTTTCTTAATGTTCTATAAAGAAACAAATGTGATCCAGAGCCTGTTCCTCTTCAATGCTGAATTCCCTTTAAACTTGAGCTATAGGCAGGTACATCACACTCATCTGGACCCTGACTTTTCAGCTACCAAGAGATCAAATTCAGCCAGAGGAAGCTTGGTGACACAGCCACACAGACTCCTCCGTTCTCCAGGCACCAGCCAAAGGGCACTTACTGAGCAGACAGCGGAGACAAGCAGGTGTCTTAAATGGGAGATTGAAATGGCAACACTAAGGCTCCAATTTTGCATGAACCTTAGGACTTTTGGAAGGAAGGAACAGAGGACAGCAGGAACAGGAAAAGAGTTTTCTCCCAGCTACTAGCTTCCCTGCACTCACATTTCATGAGGTGTCCATTCAGTTAACATGTAATCTAGCACAGGAGGAACCAATGAAGCTGGGGGACCCCAAGTCATGTTCACTGTAAGCAGTGAACACCTGACACACCTGACACAGCTTCCTATCCTGTAACAATACTACAATGACAGCCACAGAAGGAATCAAGAGAGGAACCCATTTTCTCTCAGGCATCGACCGCTTGGCTTTCCAGATTCATTAAAGCTGATGTACTCGAGCCTGCAGAAGCAGGGAAGAGAACAGGAATCCATAAATATTGTTTGTAAAAATGCTGCCATTCCAGTGCCTTGGTCCCAGCTTCCATATTCTGGAAATTAAGACTGATCAAGAGGAGGTTAAGAATGGGGTGTAATTGTCATCATCCTGTTCTCACTCTTGCTCCACCCTGCACACAGTTATGAGCATCCAGGGGGTGGGGAAGACAGGGCTGAGATCAACTTCTCCATTCAGACAAATGGGGAAAGTGGGTGGGAAGCAATGTGGGAGTAGTGCAGAACAGCTCCTCTCACACTCTCACACAAAGGAAGGAAGGGAGGGAGGGAGGAAAGCAAACATGGAAAAGACCAAAAAGCACAGTCACATTCCTCCTTCCCACCTGCTGTATGACAGCTTTGGCTCCCTTAAAAATAAAAGCAAGCTGGAAAGCCCTGCTGGCCTTTGGCAGCAGGAAAACAGCTTCCAACAACTTAAAAAACACTGTAATAGCATACTCAATTTAAAAACACATAACCAGACCCAGGAAGCTTTATCCATCTGTGCCATGTTACAGTTCTATGGGCCTTACTTGGAGGAAGGATAAACAAGGACTAATTCCTTCCTTTTCCTGCCATAAAGCCTCAGCTGACTTGCAGTTACGTTCTCAGTGCTTTCACTGAGCAATGGCTTTCTGTAAAAGAACCTTCCATGAACTTCGTAATGAATAAGCAGCTTCCTGTCCATACTTCAGTTAAAAACTGCCCTGCATAGCTGGTGATCCCTTCACTTTGCTGACCCAACTTCAAGTATACCAAATGAAATACAGAATAAAAGCTGCTTTGCCCTCTCAGTGAGTTCACTTCACAACATTTCAGATGTGACAATTACAAGTCTGAACTTATACTAGAAAAATTACTGAAGGTAAAGGTACTTGTAAAATTTTGCTCACAAATGCCTTCAGTATTTACCAGAGAAATATCTGAGATGCTTAAAAGAACTCTAGCACTCTTACATCATTGCAGAGCCCTTCCTATTAGAGCAAATAAAAGATGTGAATGCTTAACTGCAGTATCAATGTTGCATTTTTCCAATGTATTTCTAAGATGTGCGTAGCCAGGTAGCTTCTTAGAAGCTGTTCACATTCGAGCTGGGCCAGTACTGACTGCATTCTTATTCTCCCACAAAACCACGTAACTACTCTGTTAGCACAGTGCTGCTTCCAAGATTTTAGCTGCATTGCACCAGTGAAATTGGGTTACTAGAGGCTAAGCAGAATTGAAGTTCTTTTACTGCCTTCTGGAAACTGTCAAGGGTAATTCATGAATGCACACTCGTAACTGAAAGCTGGGCAACTCGTATCTGTAACTTTTGCCATCATTTTAATGTGACACCAAATACGTTAATAAAAGCTGAGCCATGCTGAGGTACTATAGAAGACTTGAAAACCTGTTTACAGATACAAAATGCAGTGTGTGCCTGTCAGAACAGCTTCTCATAACAGTGACTTTCTTTAACACGTAACTGCTTAGCTTCCTACTTTCTGTAACCAGATCCTTACTGCCATCCAGAGTTCATACCTTCCAGTTTTAGGTTCTCAGGTTTGAGGGGTCTCCAAAGGGATAGGTAAACTGACTATCAAGAAATTATAAGAATAGCATGAAGTTGCTCATCATACCTTCTGTCCTGCTATAACAACACGATCTCCCAGTTTCAGGCCAAGCGACAGAAGCATGGCCTTGCCTGTGACATGGTCACAGTTTGGGATCATGGCTTTTGATATGTCACACGAGAGAGGCACTGCATCCAGCAGTATCTGCTTGATTTCTTTTGCACTGGCCGCTGCATCTGCCATTTCCAGTGGCATATCTACTGGATCAGGAACCACATCTGCCGGAATCTGCCCTTTGTCATTCTGTAGAAACATAACATAGCACAGGATTTAATGCTGTGACACAATAAACCTGATCAGGCAAAACCATAGCAGTTTATGAAAGTTTTTCATCTTCTTTATTAGCTATTTTTCCTAGAATACAAATGACTATAAAAACATCTGCATTTTCAAATACGGATGCCAAAACATCCTTAGATATATAAACTAGCATTTACAGTGCCTCATTTTCAAAAGTTACTAAATCCGAAGAACATATTAGTATTCAGAACACATGAAAAAGCAAAACACTGTATGTATCTGTCTACCTGAATATAGATTTGGGAAAGTAAGCGAGAATTCTGGTCTGCAATGCCAATAATGTAAAGCTAACACCTCCCTAAAAAAAAATATCAAAAGAGTTCACTTTTACCCTGTGCAGTTTACTCCTTGGTAAGGCTTATTCCAAATGTATGACAGAATGAATGTATGCTGCATGTATAGAATACACAAAGTTGATATTCCGCATAAACACTTAAATAAAACTGTTCAGGTTTATTTAGACAGAGACTATGAGAGATGAATTAAAGACAGAGTCCTTTCCAAGTAGTCCCCATTCACAGAACACAGTGACTGTGATTCCCAGTATGTCCCATTTGACACTCACCTGAGGCCAGAGTTCTTGGAGCACCAGCTCACCTTAACTCGAGGCCAGACAGCAACTAAACTGTTGGGCTGTCAGGCTGCCACAATGGCAAGTTCTGCACACACACTCTTCAGCGAACACATTAGTATGGACCTGTGCCTATCTGCTAGTTTCACTAAGTTTGTGGAAATGTGATTACTTCTGCCTTCCAAATTTGACTCAACTAAGCTCCTGGACTCAGAAATCCCCAGAAGCTCAGAGTGAATGACAAAGAGCAAGACCGTATTTGCTTTGTTTCCTTAAAAAAGTCTAAAAGTTCAGCCTTCCCTGAGCCCCCAGAACATCTCTGTCTCAACTGTAGAAAAACACCAATCCTTACTCAACATTTACTCTGGTGTCCTCATACAAGCAAACTCTACCCACTGCCCCTGGTCACAACTTTACTGCAGGACTGAAGAACACCAGCCACTCCTTAAAAGCCTACAGTCATTCTTTAAGTGAGAATTAGCCTCATTCAAGTCTCAGTTCCTTAAAACCAGGATATAGCTGGGTTAAAGTTGAGCAGGGAGTTTGCTGTGAGTTTTTAGCCATCGCATTAGTGATTGTTTCGGTCACATCAGTCCCACAATTCATTCCACCAGGTCCCTCACAAATCTTTGCATCAGCACAAGGCAGGTAGAAAACAGAGGCAAGAAAGCACATGGACACTGAATTGTTTTCCTCAAAAACGAAGCCACCTTTTGACAGCTCAAGATGCTTGTGCAACTACAAAGCAGTATTCCCTGAAACAACCGCCTCTTAAACACGCAGCTGCCATAGAATCTGAAACATGCACATGCACACTAAATAATGAGACAAAGAGGAAAACCAGTGGTTTTAAAGAGATATAGACTGAATATCATGACAAACTGTATGAATAGTGACGTTCCAGATTTCAGACCACCAGTGACACTTAAAACAACTGTATTTTCTCATTTAAAAATTCATTTGAAAATGGAGAACAGATACTGCCTATGCTACAAAAAGACCACCACCACAACAAAAACCAAAACCAAAACCAAACACCACCCTAACGCCCCTCCTTCCAATAATAACATATGTACCGCAAGATCTGTGGCTAAACACATTTATAACTCAGGCCTATTATTTGGTTAGCAAGCAGAACAATTGTTTTTTTCATTATCCAAGCAACGAATAGAAGAACACCTTAAAAGCTAACTAACAAACTAGACTGTGACACAAAAACACGAACTGCAACACACAAGTGTAACAAAGCATAGGAAATCATCCACAGTGAGTTATAAATCTCCTTCTCTCATGCACTATCTCGCCAGGTACACATTTGTAGCTAAGCAAAACCCCGGACAGATTGTTCCGTTTTTTCAGGTACTCTTTCACTTTTTGGTTAACCTACAACCTAACTCCTTACCCTAAAGGCAGGATTTGCTCCATGTTCCAGTAAACACTTGACAGCTCCTGTACACAGGTTAAATGCAGCAATATGCAAAGCTGTTCCAAAATCAAAATCACTACAGGTGGCATCCACATCTGCAATCAAACATCACAAGTATGTTAAGTCTGTTATATGAACACTTCCCCAAATGAATGGACATTCATTTGTACGGTTTATGGTAACATTTGTACAGAGACAATTATTTATGCACTAAATGCATATGAAAAGTAATTCTACATAGAATACCAACCTTATCTGCATCTGCGTATTCATACCATGAACCAATCTGGAAAATGAGCATTTACTTTGATTCCTTTTATAATACTGATGACTTAACTGCAAAACAGTTGCAATCCAGGATGCCCAATCTGCTGTGCCAAGGTTAACAAGTTTGTAACTTTATGTTTGCACGTAAATCAATGTTTCAGAAATTTTTATTTTATTGCTCCTAGGTGTCAAATTTTAACATGAGATGCACCTTCAGTCAGCTGGTTTCCTTTGTGAGCAGGGAGTGGGACAAGGGAAAATGATTATACTTCTGCTTTACATAAACTTACTTACTCATGGGCAGGTTGGAAGTAAGAGCTATCCATTTTCATAATTTCTTTGTTTTCAAAAACTTGCATTCCAAAGGGTATTTCACTGATAGCTTGAAAAACGGAGCAATGCATTTAACTACAAAAGATCTAGCATAATATGAATTCCCATCACTTATTCCCAATGCATCTTTCAATCCGCTATTAAGTTACTATTGTTCTAGAAGATTAGACTTTTAATGCCTATTTGGTCTTTGATGCCTCTCCTAAACCATGTAAGAGAAATGTCAGTTTGAGTCAATTATGTGTATGACCCTGAATTAAAAATGCCAGCTAATTTAATACACAAACCAAAAGCCAACAAATATCGGCAATAATGTTCCAACCTGAACTAGTGAGGAACATAAAACATTTCACCTCAGGGCTATCTCTATAGGCTCGCAGTATTTTCCAGTATCAGTCTCTAGCCCAGAAACCACCAGCCCTTCTCACAATGTGATAAACAAACTATATCCTAACTGTATCAACATCCTCATGTGTTTATACTAAATTAATATTTTGGGGGCAAATAAAACATCAACATATACAGAAGACAAATAACTATATATGTCTGTAACATATGTCAACTTTATACATACTAATACAGATTGAATTTTGTAAAGATACCTTTTATATACCAAATGTCAAAAGACCATCACCAGTTTAAAACTGAGTACAAGCTGTGTAGTTGTACATAACCATTAAAACTTCCACGTTTAAGAAGGCTATCAAGTAGGTATTTTCTGCACACACACAGGAACCAATCCTAGAAAAAGCAATCATTACTGTTAGCTACTGAGTCAGGAACAGCTGCTGGTAGGGGTTTTACTGTTTTAATTAGACTAGTGTGACTTCCTCGGGTTTGCAAGCTCCTGCTTGGAGTTTTTAACACTGTTTTCTTACAGCTTTGTTTTAGGTTTAAGTTGGCATAGTACAGGTGACAAAAAGGAAACACATATATATCAAATTTTAGCCAGTAACTACCCCCAACCTATCTCAGGGAAATTAATACACAGCAATGATCTGTCATTAGCAACCTGTGCAGGTTACAGTCATTGTCTAATGGCACCACACATGGATAATTCTTAAGCCTTTAACAATTTTTATATTTAAAACCTGAAAAAAATGTATGAACAAGCTAGCTCTCTGTTGTAACAATTTAGGAGTAAATCTGTACAAAGAATTTAGCTGCAGAGTGTCAAAAAGGAAACAGTTGAGCAGTAAATCAAAAGGAAACATCTGTGGTAGTGGATGTTTCACATGGGGTCTCTCAGGGTCAGTATACACTGTCTTAACAAGTTCTGAATACATTAACAACCATTTGTTCTTGAGTTCAGTATGGATCCATCCAAGACATATCTGCTGTCTACATACATCCTCCCTTCTCTGCAAATTGCCTGATGAAGTACAGAGCTAAGAGTATTCCTTCTAGTAGTTCAGACCATGCATTGTTTTCATGTCACAGGGCAAATCATTTTGTACTTTTACTGAGATTTAAAAAAAGGAACATTTGCTTATTCAAGACCTGCCAACTGCCAAGGCATTTAACTAGAGTGGTTTCCTTGGAAATCTGAGCAAATTCCCACCTCTTCTGTAGGCACTACACAGGAGGAGATGGGAACACCAAATGCAAATGAGGTCTAAAAGAAGAGTTGATCTGCTGATGCAAATTATGAAGACAGGACTAGTGAAATGCAATGTGGACTTAATCACTGGGCAGTCTTATTTTGTCCTGTGTTACAACCCTACACTTGTTACCTCTTCAGGTATGTCATACCAATACTAACAGCGCTGTTTAGTAATTACCTCCATGGTGAGTCGGGATCTGGTAAGCAAACCTTGTGTACTCAAAAAACCTGCTAGCTTTTCAGGATTTTGAGTCTTTAGCTACAACCAGCTAAAAAAGGGTATTCATCATTCTGCAAAATGGCACAATCAGAAGGGTATCCAGTAAAATAAATTAACATTTGTACAATCTTCATATTAAAATTACTTACTCATCTTGATATCCTGACCAAATGAGGAACAAATGGTTCTGGGTCAGAACCACTTCTGTATTTCCATTTGCATTAATACAGAGAGGGCTCCAATTACCAATCCTTCCTATCACCATTCCTAAAGGTATTATCTGTTTATGCCAGACTTCTCCTTACACACAATCTTCTAGATAGACGAGTGGGAAAAATGAGCCCATCAATGTTGCTTAAGTCACTAGCTTGCCACCTGCTGTCACCAAACCCCCACTTCTCCTTTACTCTTCTCCCAGGATATCAAACATATTTCTCGATGTTTAAGGAATTTCTAAAACCCTAAAAATTTACCAGAATAGTTACATCTTTGGTTTTCTGCATACATTCTCTTAGTACTCAAAAACTTAGAATTAACCTATTTTATTTATGTTCTCTTATGCTTTTCTACCATCTTATACAAAGCCCAAGTTTAAAAAGCAGCAATGGAATAAGTACAATAAACTACAAAAAAAAATAGGTTAAGAAAAAAATAAGCCTATAAGGCTGACTAGAAGAATAAGAAATTAGAAACTATTTATGGATAATGGATAAACAAACCCCACACTTAAAAGACCGCTACACACCAGCTTAGGGTCAACACAGAACAAAATACAGACAACTACACGAAAATGAAGTAACAAAGCCTACCTTTTGGCTTTGCATTTTTCAAAATAACACTAATAAGTTCTGGAACATCAAAGTAGGCAGCATAGTGCAAGGCGTTCATGTTTGTCCAGCGGCTGCGTAAACTGCTATCAGCACCCAAATCAATGAGCTGCGTCGCAAACTTTACAGCAGTTTCAACATCACCTGCAAGGTTAATTGTGTAAAATATGGATTAGAGATGTATCTGACCCAAAAAACATGCACATGCTTATGTGCAACACATAATGAACATTAAGATGTACCCCAGAATAATTACTATGCCTTTCTTTTTAGCATTAGGATGCAAAAATCTTTGCCTTTTATCATGATGGGCTCAAATTTCTACCACAGTATGCAGCAATATCACCTGCTTCTCTCTAATGTAAATTGCAGGCTGCAATGCTGAAGTTTATGTTAAAAGATCTGCCAACACTGGGAAAGCTAACCTGTGCCAGACCTCACTTAGAAACTTAGCTCAAACTCACAGGGGAACCCCAGTCACCTACATGCTCTAGTTTCACTGATGATTGCACCTCACTCTGTAGCAGCCTTTGCTATGTTAAATATATGCTTAAGTTGGTACCATTGTTTACAATTCCTGTTACCACTAACTCAAGCTACGGCACAGCCATAATTGTATCTTCCTTTCTGAAGGCCACTAGAAGAACCAAAACCAGGCACTAAAACAAAAATCTACTGCAAGCAAAAATTCTGTAATAGTCAGTGGGATTAGCCTTTGTGAATGAATTAGGGTTTTACATCTATAATGACATTTCTTTACTCACCAATGCCATGAGCCCCTGATTTGCAAGTGTAATGCAAGAGAGTCATATCAGTCAGTCCATCTCTGTCATTCACATTGCAACCCCTTTTAATGATCTGACAGACAAATGGAAAACAAGCACATTTTAGCTTTGGCATAATTCCAACATCTGTATTATTTAGTAAGTTATTTCAGATATATTGCCTCATGGATTCATTTTAATGGTTAATAACAAAGAAGCCTTCCAGAATAGACTATAACTGCAAGGACTGAACAACATGCATAAATGCAATAAATAGCTCTATATGAGTATCATTAACCTTCATTGTTTAGATTTTAAGGCTTCTATATATCATTACTTCCAACATAAATTTCACATGCTGAAAAGTTAACTGCCTCACTGAAGAACAGGAAAATGACATTGTTTACAAAGTCATTCTCCCTTTGTTCTCTGATCTCTCAACAATCTTTTCCCTCAGAAGAAACCCAGAGTTTTACTATGGTAGGAAGAACCTTTACTATACTCCCCACCTGTCTAGAAAAGTCTATAATCCAAAAGAACAGTAAGAAAGAAGGATGGAATTACTAGAAACAAGGTGAAAGCAGGCTATTGCAGGTTGCAAATATATTTCAGTTCCTAATTAATTTTGTGCCTTGGAAACATTACCCTTATGGTCAGGCTTCACTGTAACTTCATATATTGGAGTTTAAGGTTACTGCTAAGTAACTGAAACACCACAGATCTCTGAACAACTGCTTTCAGAAGAAACATTGCTCCTGCCATCTATCGAAATGTACTCGATTTTTATCTATCTTTCTCTTTCCACTTGAAAGTCGACAGCATGTGGAATACAAGACACTGATCAGGATATACTTGTTAAAAGGCAGAAACTGTATCTGCACTTAGGATTAGTTCTGTTTCTGAGTGAGCTGGTTTTATTTGCTGTCACCATTGTTTCTTTAACACTGAAGGTATTCAAGTATCTTCATTTATACCTCACCTCATTCCCAATAATATCAATATTTTGCTGGACTTGTGGAACCCACTGCCGTAAGATAGCAAACAATTCAGAAACTGATGTTTTGGGGTTGAAAAGTATTTCTTGACATGCTGCATCATTGGGATCAAAGAAGGAAAACTCTGTTAAAAAAATAAAAGGGGAATCATTAGGTACAATTGTAAGTTTCAACATACCTCTCGTTTTTCAAACTCGGAGGCAAAAGACCAGCAGAGAGTCACGTCACTACTGATCACACTGGCAAATCAATGTTGAATTAATTTAGAACGTTTTCTTTACCATCTGGTCCATTTTTCCTTTAATACTAAGGTCTTGCTTACACTCCTGAAAAAGCTTTGAATTAGCAACCAATATAATGGTCCTGCAAGATTGATTTTAAGTTTACGCAAGGACCAAGAGAGATGTGCAGTGGTTATGATAATAAAGGCTTTCTCTTACTTCAAGCTAGCCAAAGACTGCTGATTCTAAGCTGTTGCCAGGAACAAACAAACCTCTTGATCCTTCAGTGATTAAATGCATATATGATTTCTCCATTTGCTACAAAACATGTATTTTCCTCTTTCCATCATAATTTACATAAAACATATCAAAATACCAACACATGCACAAGTCAGGCAGGCATTCTATGGCCTCCCTTATCTTCAGACAGTTCACAAATGTGCCAGTCCCAGCTGGTGGCAGATGCAGGTAACAAACGTCTTTAAAAATTAAGCCATGGAAGAAAGATCAGAAAAATATACCTATTTTTTAGATTTTAAGCTTCACATCACTTCAGGTAACCCAAAGTATAGGTGTGAAAACCACCTTGTTATTAAAGCATATTTCATGTTATTTATATCTGTGTCCCTGTATATACATATACTGTATTTTAAATTTGTGGAATTTCTTCCAACTCTGGAAAACTATGTAAAAGAATGTGGATAGCAGCAGCTATTAGGAGAGGGAATGGAAGCAGAACCTACTGTCATCAGCAAATGACTGAATCATGGAAAACACTGAACTTTTAACCCCCACTGTAGCCATCGGGGAATTGCCTTTTCAAAAGGTTTTAAATGGATGTACAATGTCAGCTTACATCAATCACAGATAGAAGGCTCTCAGAAGAGACACACAGGTTAAGTAAAACAGAGCCTCTAGGTGTATGGCATGGTATAAAGTACCTCTGAACCAATTACCACCACCTTTCCTCAGAAATAGCATACCACACTTCTAGATTCCATTAACAAATAAAAGCACAAATAGAGCTTGTTCCCTGGCTCCCTACAGTTCTTCTAACTGCATTGCCTTCATTCAACAAGAATGAAAATGAGAACAACTTCACTGATATACTTAGCATGAATTCTTAAATGCATCAAGCATACAAAAATCCCAAACCCCTTATCTCCCAGCACTACACAAAAAGTGCCTCTTACCTACATCCCATGCACTGACATAGATGTACTGATTTATATCTGAGTTCCATATAAACCACAGCTGACATATTGCTGAAAGCTATGAAGTAAACAGACAACTGAGCAACCTGATCTAGTTGAAGATACCCCTGCTCATTGCAGGGAGACTGGATTAGATGACCTTTGAAGGTCCCTTCTAACTCAAACTATTCTATGATTCTATGAACTAACCCATACGATTAACAACCTTACACAACATGCATGATTCTTACCCTACCACAAAGGTTTCTAACTGCAAACCTGAGCCAACTTATGTATCAGAAATCAACTCTAGCAGACTCACAATCAGCATGCTAAGCTAAAACACCTGAGAACACATTAAGTATTAATAACAACCACTGTAAGTGCTTAACAGGGATCAGCTGCAGTGTTTGCAAACATTAAGAGAAATACGAGACAATCTGTTAAAACAAAAAACTCCACAAAAGTAGACAATGGCATCTAAATAATTTAAAACATTACTTTCTCCACCTTTCTCACGCATCGATCACAACTGTATTAAGGAAAAATAAATGCACTTAACGTAACAAACAAGAATATTTTTCTGCAGTGGTTCAACCTACTTTACCCAAGTTCTCTAATATTACTATTACACAGGTGACAGTGACCTCCTATAAAAGCATTTTTTTTAATTCAGTGAGTAGGCACAGACCAAGTAGGACAGGTAACAGTGATACTGCAATGTTATTAGAAGATAATACAGCACAAAAATAGTTAAAGAAGGGCGAATGAAAAAATTTTCTAAGGGATACAAAAGCAGGACAGAATAAATTTTGGCAGCACACAGAGTAGAATAGGATGGAAAGGTTATGAGAAAGGGATAAACCATGTAAAGACACATGCTGTGTACTAAAATACACTGTATTGAACTGTTGAATTTCCAACTTGTTCTAACTCATCAAATGGCTCTCAAGAATGCAGAGTCTGTCAAAGACAGAACATTATATATATTTATGGTTCCTGAATATAGTTGACTGCTGTAATCAATGCACCGGGGGGGGCGGGGGAATAAGAGGTGGAGACAGTAATATTTAAGTTATATAGATGCTATTGACATCTGCAATATTCAAAGACATTATAATTGTAGCTCTCTATGAAGATCCTTATCTCATGACATTTAAATGTTATATATCCTGCTTGTAATGTTGTAATTTAAGAAGCCAATTCAACATTATTTCGAAAGCTGATCACTTGGCACTTGCTAGAATATTCTGATTTCACAGTCTTTATCACAAACATCTACACTTCCAACAGAAATACCCCCATAGTCTATTGTTTACATATTGAAAGCACAAGAAAACGTGTACCTCTGGAGGTTTTAAATCTGATGTGGATGCTTACTTACATTAAATGACTGAAATCTTATATCTTAACACAATATCCAGTTGTACACTGAGATGTAAAAAACCTAAAAGTATCACACCACACACATATGCAGAAGAAACAGTAAGAACAAAAATAAATTACAATTTAAATTTGATGCAATAAAATAGAAAAAGCATGGGTCTTCATCTTTCATTTCCTTCAAAAATAACAGAGAATTCATTTGATAAGCAGTAAACTTTTTCTGAAAATAAAGAATAATTTCAGAGTTGACAGCTTTTCTTAAAATTCATTACTCAAATCTACTCTCTACTGATTATAAATTTACTGTTCAAAGTACATACCACAGTCTGAAGGCATCGGTGCTGCAGCCACAGAAAAAGTAACAGATGTTTCAGAGTTTAAGAACCTTTCTCTTTCAATGAGGGAATCTCCTTCTAAGGAAGGTTCTGGGAGGTCCTCTATGGTCATCTTCTAAAAGCCACTTTAGAAAGAAATAATATATAACCTCATTAGAAATACTTTGGATTAGTTCTATCATAGTATGATATAATATGCAAAGAGACTAAAATCTTTCCTTTTTGCAAGCACAAACGATTACTACCATTTACATTCTTGCAAACTAATACGATGAATTAGTAAAAGCTAGTAGAGTGTGGTGTCAAGGATAGTCAACCTCTAGTTTGGACTTCATCACTAAACTTGCATGTTATTAATGGAAAACATGGTATTTCCCCCCAGTTTTCCACTTGAGCAGTAATAAAAATAGTAATGCTGTAATAAGCAATCACAGGGTGATGATGAATGGATTAGTGTGTTTTGCAGCTTTATGAAAATGTGAAGCATCAAGTACCTGTCTTCATAATCTGCATGCATATTCCTTTCCTTCACCATGAGCAAGAACATGCTACCAGCTACCGCTCTCTCCTCTTTTCAGATTCTCAGCTCTTTCATCTTCCCACGCAAAGCTGCAGACAATTCATCACCAAGTGACTCACTCCTGGACTCATGATTCCATATCAGCTCCTTTCCCAGCTTCTCCTGTTTTTGAAATAGCTTACTTACCACAGTGTTGTAAACCTCCACCCCAGTGTTGTTTCCAGTCAACTTTTCCGGCCTTAGAGCAACCTAGAAGAGAGAACAAAGATTAAATGGCCATACAGAACTATAGTGAAATTTTCTAACAACCAGGCCAAGTTATGTTCCAGTTACAGTTCACAGGCTAAGATTAGGAGAGCTGCTACCACTTGTAAGACATCTAGTTGGGAAATTTTGTAACAAAACACATTACTCTGAATAAAAACAAGCATTATTGCACTATTGGAAACTACATCTCACAACTGAAAACCTGAAGTTCTGCATCTTATATTTGTATCAATAAATACTCAGGGTAAAAGCAGTGCTTCTGCTAAACAACCTAAATTTGTATTCTGCAGACTGCTATACAGTGCTCTTTACTCAGGAATTTGTTTAGCCACTTTGCTTGGCAGAAATAATTCATGGAGCTTTAAGGCATGTTTGGGTTTCTTTTTACATTTAACCTTTATACATGAGTTAACAGGAGAAATAAAATGCAGTCTGCTTTTGAGAGTTAATTTAGTTTTTGTTTCTTACACACAAGCAGCTATGTGAATTAATTCATTCTAACCTTCCCCCAGATATTGCTGTGCTATTTGGGAACCTCACATGATCTACATGGTAATATAAAAGGCATTTTAAGAGTGGATTATAGATGATAATCTTGAAATAAATAAATGAAAACATCCTCTGCTTGCATGCCATGCACAGTTCACCCTGTCCTTAACTTGGAAAAGAGGTCCACATGAAAAGTGTGTTTTTCTCCAACTCATTTATTTCTTCAGTCTTATGCAGCTGTACAAATGCATTTGCTGGCACAAAGGAAAGATCAAGGAGGAGGCCACTGGGAAGGGCAGGACTAATTCTTCCCACAGCATTATCAAATTGCATTGGCTTAAGCATTCTTAAATTCATCAAGGCCAAAATATCACTAAGCTATTTCAATTATTATTTTTATCCAGTAAAAAAAAAGTTAAAGAGTTTATATTCTGGATGGCTTTACAGTCATGATAAACATGACAGCAACAGCTTTCTTGTAAGAGGGACCAGAAAGCCTCTTAGGCTGCAAGTCACTAAATCTCTTTGGTAGGGCAACAGTGAAATAAATTGGCTACCATCTGATACTTGTTCAGAGGCTATTGCAAGCCAAAACAAAACTTTGTAAAATATAAGAATCCACAACGGTTTTTCACAGGTGGCACATCAGACACTCTCACCAAATGCACAAAGGAACAAATAATGTGCTTGACTATGGAAAAGAGAACAGCTGAAACTTAAGTTAGAAAAAGACATGAAAGGAATTACAAGCTTTTTGCACAGCGCTGCTGGTGCAACACTGAGGAAACGAAAGAAAGACAATGAAAAGTAGCCAGACCTGATTGAGCAGATGGTAACAGGAAGAGGTGAGGTGCATGAAGTATGATGACAAAAGTTGCCAGAACTAGAAATCAACAGAGACATTTGAAAATTAATACAAAAAAAGTTTACTTCACACAGAAAAGCAAACTGAGCAGAACAGAATCTGTGTGATGCAAGTATTCAGGGCATCTTTTACTAAGGAAACAAGCAGGAGAATACAATCTCTCACGAGTGAAAGGAGCTCAGCACAGACACTACCAAAGCAAAGCAAGCAGGGAAACAATCCCTGTTGTTGAGCAGGTGACACCCAAGTGCTACAATGCATGAACCAACCAACGGCTTCACATGTCTATCTATACCAGTGCCAACACCCCCAGACCTGCGTGCACATCTTTATGCCATGGGATTTTAATTTGGATCTAGGAATATATTACCGTGTCATCATACAGTACTGAGCTATGCAATCAAGGCAACACATTTTGCAACCATGACTACTTCCAGAAACTGATAGCTCAGGTGTAAGAACATCACAGCCCGTTAATGTCAAACACGTACACCTGGAAAGCAAAAGGTTGAAAACTTTCAAAGAAAGGGAAAAGGCAAACAGATGTGATCCTAATGGTGACTTCTGCTCTGTGCAAACACGTAACTGCCTAATGTATTAAAAATATCCAAGACATACGGCAGGAAGTCCTAGAGAAATGGCACCAAAGGTCTTCTAGAAGAGCAATGATTTCTCTGCATTCACAAGATGAGTTTAGACAGAAAGAAACAGAGAAATTCAATGAACGAAAGGACAGAATTTGCCTGTTCACAGCACTGCCAAACTACCAAGAAGCATAGTTTAGTACACCAGAGAGCATGAGAATTACAATTTGCCAGCCATATGTTCTAACTGAATTAAACCTGAAAATGAAAAGCAGAAGTAACAGTGGGGAAAAAAGAACCAAACACTTGGAAGAGCGCTCAGATGCACATCCACCTACACTGACAAGGCTGAAAAGCAGCTACAGGTTTCCTGATACCCATACATTACAGAGAAATGCATAGAACCTCTGCATGAAAAAAGGTGCATAATACAAGATCCAGGTTTTTCATGCACTCCAGATATCTTAATTTGCAACTTGTGTTAAAGCACACAAAGTTTTCTTTCAACTTGTATAGAAAACCTGGAAAATGCTGAAGCACTTCAAGTGCTGAAATGCAATTGTAACGGGGCTTCAACAGCACAACTTGTTACAAACGTGATGCTATTTTTGACAAAACCCACGTATAACGGACTACTTATCGTGTACTTCTATGTGCTCATGAAGCAAAACTGAATTCAGAGAACAAGTCCTGCACATACACTGTCTCCTCGCTCCGTAGGTCACACAGCGCGAGTGGCAGACATATTCCGTGTGCACAGGTTCACTCAGACTGGTTTTTCCACTGGTGTGCGGGGCCCTCTTGCAACACGGAGCTTTGTTTTGTTCAGATGAAGTTTAAACAAGCCCGGGTTTTAGACCTCCCCCGGCTGGCTCTGCTAGCCCAAAGCCTCCCGCGCTACCTCCCCCGGCAGGTACCGCTCGGACGCCCCCAAGGGGTGAGTGGTATCCCACTGTACCTCCGGAGCCGGCGGGGCCCGGCCGCCGCCTCAGCGGGCTGAGGTGAGGGGGAAACAGAGACGCCCTAAGGCCTCGCGGAGCCGGCGCCGGCGCCTCCCCTCCCCCCGCTCCCCGCTCCCCACACGGTGCTCCCGCCCTGCTCCTCTCAACTCCGGCCCACCGGGCGGCCCCGCCAGGTGCCGTGTGTGTGCTCGCAGCTGACAAGCGATTGCCGCGGCGGGGGCCAGGGTCACCTGCGGCTCACCCTCTGCGGGGGCCCCCGCGCCACCACCCCGCGCAGAGGGACGGCGGGCGATCGGTAGCAGGCCTCCGGTGCCCACCCCGCTCCCCATGGGAGGTGTGAGGACATGGCCGCCACCCTGTCCCCCCTCAAGCCGTACCTGGTCTCCTCGGCCAGAGGCTCAGCCCCACTGGGGCCTCCCACGCCCGCCCGCAGCTGAGGCAGCCGCGCGAGGCCGCAGCCTGCGCCCGCCCTGCCCCTCCCCGCCCACCGGCCTATCGGCGACCAGCACCGCCCTGACCGCCCCGCCCCTCCCCGCCTACCAGCCTATCGGCGGCCAGCACCGCTCTCCTTGCCCCGCCCAGCCTGCTCCCCCACAGGGCCCCAGCCCCGGTGCAGGCGTATCGGAGTGCAGCCCCCCCAGCACCGGTCAGAGGAAGCTGTTTCGCCCAAGGTGACCGCAGCCCGCGTTCGCCTGAGTGAGGATGAGCCTGGAAAGCGGCCAGAGCGATGCAGAGGGCGGGTCTGTGGCCTAATCCTGGCGCTCCCCACGGTCACACAGCAGTGGGGCTCGGAAATAAAGCCAGGGGAAAATGAAAGGCCGGGGAGCTGCAGGTCAGGCAGCCTCGGTCTGCGGGGGAGCAGGGAAGTAATCGCGGTGCTCCAAGATGCTCGCGCGCCCAAAGGAAAATAAGTGTGGGAAGTACGGCAGGAAGAGAATGGGGAAGCAGCGGGGCTACAGCCAAGAATCCTCCTTCCCTGAGGATTCCAGGTGCCAGGTATTCCGGAATGCTTCGTGCTATAAAATGTCCATGCACTAACAGCTGCATAAAGGGACTCGCTTGAAGTCACGCATAGTCACTGGTAGATTTAAGCATAGCGCTCAGAGATCTGGACTTCCCACTTATTTTAGTAGCCATCTGGAGGAACAGAAGTAGACACTTCCAAAATTTTTTTCCAGGGGTGCCTGTTCAGCATCATAAGCTTAATAAGGATCTAAATCCAAAGACTGTTAAAGAAAGCCATGCAGTGATAAATCCATTTTCATACCAGTCTAGTCGAGGGGAATTTGTCCTGGATAAAACCTTAGACAAGTTCTGCTATGTTTTTATGCTCAATATGATCACTATTAAATAAATATAACTGACATTTATAATCAGGTATTTGTCATTGCTTTTCCAGTGATAATATTAATTGTGGAGTGAGGAGGGAGGAGGCAGGACAAATAATGGGAATGACAAGTGGAAATTACCTCAAGTGAAGTATTGGGAAAGTCAAGATCTGCAAGTGCTCTCGGATCCTAGACACTTGAAAACTGAAGGAAGTGGAACACAGAGTTGCAGTTGTAACAGTAAACATGATACCAGATGGCTAGAGGAAAGCTAAGAATTCTTCTATTTCCTAGAAATGTTCCATGATTTGGAAAAGCCAAATTAAAACTGTTCTCCAGGAAAATGCAGGCCTGCAACTTTCACCTCAAGGGTACTCTATGAAAAAGAGTGTAAAGTATAAACAAGACATGGATATAAGCAAGATCAAATGTGAGCTTAATATTGGCAGCTGATGCCTGCCTTTTTTGAGATGCTCTATGTGCTGGGCAATGGAAATGTTTCACGGCTGATACCGAATAATGGCTTCAGTGAAATGCCTGAAATGGCAATTATTACTGGTTCTGGAAAAGACTAGGATATAGGAGAACTTCAGTGCAGGTAAAGTACAAGCACAAAGGGGAAACAGCATTGAGCTGAACAGGATGTACTGGGCTGAGGGAGGTTACTGATGACAATGTGGGTTATTATTGTTGGAACTAATCTTTTCCTTTTGAGACTGCTCAAACTACCGTGGTATAACTCTGCTCTCCATTG